GCCATTTTGGGAAGTGGGAAGTTGATATTATCGAGATTGAGGAGCAAGGTAGAGAGATGAGTATTTAAGCGTTTCTTTAGAGAGGAATTTTTGGGGGGGTTTTGAAGAGGATAATACAGAGAAAGTTCAGGCTCGCTTGGCTTGTTTTCTAAGGAAGGTTCTGTTTTCTTATTGATTTATATAAAAGTGTGAGAAACGTTTTTATATGGAGGATAAGGTGCTATGACCTAGCTAGAAGATTCTTCCTTCTGTTTCAGTCCACCAACTACAAATCCTTACATTTATATCACGATTTCTTCTTTCCGGGTCGGGTCGGGTCGGGTTTTGCATCAATTATCTTGTGTTTGTTTATTCATTTAAATACATGCTTCATTTCTTAATTCTCTTGATTCACTATTTAAGATTATTAACATATAGAAAATCATAATAGTTGTAGAATACCCTTTAAGGTCAAAAAATAAATTTAAACAAAAAAAATATCATAATAGTTGTAGAATACCCTTTAAGGTAAAAAAATCAATTTTTAATTTCTATAAAATATAATTTGAATCACATTTATTTCCAAACAATATCTTAAACATTGTTTAAAATAAATTAATTGAAACACAAGTTGGATGAGTAAAATCAATATCAATGAGCTTCCTCTCCACCTTCCCGGAAGAAAGAATGCTTCTCTTTTTCTAATTTTCTTCTTCATTTTCAATTTCTTAGCCAATTAGGCTTCGAGGAAAGGAAGGGCATCACGCAACTTTGACAAAAGCATCAAGCAAATGTTAAGTGAAATCATGTTTCTTAACTAGAAAGATTGTAAATACTTTTAAATTAAAGTATTTGATTATGATATTATCAAATTAAAAATATAAAAAAATATTAATTTTAATATGTTTAGATGTCTAAATGTATATGCATAAGAAACAAAACCCACTACCCGAGGTTTATTATTTGTTTTTTATGAAAATAATATTTTTATTTTATTTTATTATTGTTGCTTCATTGATGGGTTTTTCGATCCAATCTTGTCCGTAAGGGACTTGATTGCAAAGTTAGCCATGAGTGGATGGTGAAATTGCAAGAAGGATTAGTTTGGGGACTGTAAGGGATGTCTAAAAGACCAATAAAATTTAATTTTTAAAATATTTTTTAATTAAAAACACATTAAGATAGCATAAAGTTTATGCTTGCAGGAGACTGATAGGTGGTTGGCCAGTTGTTTTACATTTAGCGAAATGGTCCTCATATTTGCATGGAATTTCTGTTGGCGAGTGGGGTCGGAGATGCTGCCAGGATGGACACGTGTATGGATGAGCATTGGAGAGAGAGGACACGGTCTCGAGAAACAAGAACTATAGTGTACACGGGTCACCACAGAACACAATCAGTGGTGGTGACGTGCACGCCATGATTCACGCTGTTAACGGATCAAGCGTGGTTCGTTTTGGACTGTTGATGATGGGATGGCCCAGTTAATTTGATGTTGACTACGTCCGTGAAAGTCAAAGGGACAATATATTATTATTAACCATGTAAAACCGACCTAGGTAAATAAAAAACGTGACAAAGCTTTAAGGTAAAGTTGTCATAAGTGGGTAATTAACAAAGGCTAAATCAGAATATTGCTCACTCATGCCCTTTTGCAATTTTGCACCGTTCACTTAATAGTAGTTTAATGGTGTCTTTGTGACTCTTAAAAAAATTAATCTAATTTTTTTTTTAAAACATTATTTGTTAAAATTCTGATGATAATTATGATACACGTGTTTTTTTTTTTTTAAGCATGATGAAATAATGAAATCATCTTTCATTTTAAGACTCATGATACTAGCAAATAAAAGCATTAAAATCTTTTTGTTTTTTAAAATAATAAAATAACAACTTTATTTTTGAAACCGAAAAACCAAATCAAGCATCTACGGGTTTTTTGATCTTTTTTACACTTTTTTTTTTTTTATTATGACAGGCCTTTGTCTTTGTGACTCTTAAAAAAATTAATCTGATTTTTTTTTGGAGCATTGTTCGTTAAAGCTATGATGATGATTATGATACACGTGTTTGTTTTATTTTTTTAAGCATGATGAAATAATAAAATCATCTTTCATATTAAAATTCATGATACTAGCAAATAAAGATATTAAAGTCTTTTTGTTTTAAAAAAAAACAAAATAACAAATTTATTTTTGAAACCGAAAAACCAAATTAAGCATCTACAGGTCTTTTGGTCTTTTTTACACTTTTTTTTTTTATTATTATGACAGGCCTAATAAAGGGCAATGTGATCTTTTTATATAGATTCAATATTATTTAAATGATAAAAATAAAAATATGTGTGACACAAGCATCCGCACATTTCAGACAATTTGTATAGTGACTCTTTGCAGTCAAAATTATTGTTATGTTATGTTGTTAAATAACCTGAGCTCCTTCCTTCTTTTTATTATAATAATTGAACAAATTGGATATTTAGGTAATCTTTGATATTATGATAATGATGTTTTTTTAAAGTATTTTTTAAAAATAAGTTAAAATATTTTTTAATTTTAAAAATTTATTTTTGATATTATCACATTAAAATAATCTAAAAACATTAAAAATATTAATTTAAAATAAAAAAATATTTTTTTTAAAACATAACCAGACCGTGTAAACATACACACTCTTAAACAAAGGGAGGTAGATTGATGGGGTTTTGCTCCATACATCTTTTCTCATTATTATAACCAATAATTTTGCTTTAAAAATTTTTGCCCATACATCTTCTGGCGGCATGGTGATAATCCTAGGATGGCACAGGGATTGCTCCCTGTTGCCCACAACTGAGTTTTGCAATCCATGATCATGGGAATCACTCCTGCAAAGTGGAGGAGGAAGTGGATTTTGATTTCAAGTGCAAGCCATGTACTTGTCACTTTAAAAATTAAGAAAAATCAATCGTTGAGGAGTGGAATTCATTGACCAATCTTTGACTAAATTCTGGTCCATTCCAGAACTAGAATTTTTATGCCTAGTAATTGCCTATCTTTCAAGGCTTTCTGTCTTTTAAAGATGCCGTGAAAGAAATTCCTGTAATAAAAAAAACCAAGGATGCAATCCCAAATAAATAAATAAATAAATTGAAGAGTTTTTTAAAGTTCCATGCATTGGAAACTAATGAGGAGGGAAAAAAAAAGATAAAACAAAAACATTAATACTAAATTAAAGGACTGAACAACATATATCGATCAGGGATGAAAAGGCTATGAAGAAGATTCAATTGCCTCAAAAGCTATAATTTAGTTTAGAGTTGAGCATTTTTAGTTTGATATGATTTTGGATTAAAATAAATAATCAAATTATAATTATTATTTTTTCAAGTTTTTAAATCAAATTGAACAAAAAACCAATTCAAATTAGTTATTTTTTATTTAGTTTGATTTTTTTCTTTTAAACCAGTTCGGTTCGATTCGCTAGCCAGCTTGAAAATACAAGAAAGGACACCATTTCTATATCAGCTGCTTATAGATTCTAAAAAAAGATTTGCTTTTAGTAGCTCAATCTTTCTCAATAAGACCTGCTTTGGTGCCCATCAACACCTTATCATGGAAAGCATACACGATGCTATAGATTGAGTTTCTTAACACATTAATGCATACACGATGCTATAGATTGAGTTTCTTCTTAACACATTAACTATGACACAAGCTTTTGCATGTAGAGGACTACTTTGTTTTTTTTTTTTGCAGTCACAATATCTTCTTGTTGTAATTGAAGTATTTCATTTAATAATAACTAGCTCCATCAACTATGGGGGTTGCAAGCTTGTCTTCTTCCCGAAAAAGCTTTAATAGCAAGCAGGCTAGAGATAGGTGCTGAGAGAACAACAACATTGCTATAGTGAATTATGAACCCCAAATCTGTCCTCCTCGTGTGACTATTAGGAGGCAATTGCCTTTGATTAAGAGAATTAAGGAGTATTGAGCTTAACATTTATGAAGTATTTAGATAAAAAGAAGAGAAGAGGGAGCATAGAGTAAAGAGAGGGAGTGACTGATTTTGTTTTAGAGAATACTAATTTAGTTTTAGGGTTAATAAAAAAATCATATTTATATATATATTTTTTTTTAAGTATTGATCTAGTTGAACAAGTTTGGTTTCATTTAATTTGGTTTAATCAGTTTTAAATTTTAAAAACCAAAATCAAACTAAGTTAAAACTTTTTTATGATTTTTTAATTAGTTAATTTAATTTTTTTAGTTTAATCAATTATTTAGGTTTTTTGCTTGCTCTTAATTTAACCGATTGGCAACGTTGCAAGCGCAACTCATAAAATATGACAACCACATATGTGCTCACATGTGACCCACACACATCAACCACTTTTTTTTAATAGTATTTATTATCAATTAAAATATCAATTTTCCCCTCAATGTACCTGCCTGATTATAACAAGAGAGACAGATTGAACTTCTGCTGCATCCGTCCAAGCTATGTCTTGACGACTTCTCTTTGGATGTGTAGAATAAATGTTCAGTTCGGGGCAAAGAGTTAATAGTTTTGAAAGCAAAGTGATGGAAGAAGAAAACGACACAGTAATTTATTACAAGAAAAAGAAAATCTTTCGTGCTTGGGCTACCAGCTATAAAAAACCCAATTTCCATATAAATTTCTTTCATTTTCAAGGCCTTGTGGTGAAGCTTTATGTATTAAATTATTGTCTGTGCCATGAAAGGTTTTTCTTGACTGATAATCTATCGTCCATCCTTTTCTCTTATAAATGTTCTTATTTCATCTTCAGAATGCCGATCGATCTTATATCATCTGCATAGGTTGAGAATCTTCTTTGAAGAACAATCCAAGACTAGTTATATGCAGAATAACTTCTGCAGAATCAATTTATGGCATGTTCCTTGTTAGAACTATGTCATTTAAATAGGGAAACATCTATTTTCATGTGGTTTAAAGAAATATCATTTCATTTGAAAACCATTTATGGGCTTGAGAAGCTGAATTCAAAGAGGAAATTGGAGTTATAAATGGCATTTCAGTAGCCATGACATTGATCAGCAAGAAAGTTCTGTAAGATGTAAGATCAGCTAGAATATTGTCTTCCCTTCTTCTGATACCACTAGATAGCACAAACGTCTCATTGAATCTTTGCAAATGGCCATTGTTAGGCATTTTATTTGTGATATAGCTTCCCTTAAAGGACGAGGAAAGCATTTTGATCAATACAATTCTGAAAAAGCATCTACTAAGGCCAAAATTTTTAAACGGGCATCCTGCAAACCATTGAATGAAAATGCAAAGGACTGGCTATGATTTCAGGAACTAAATCCCAGGACTTGATAGCCTACAAGGCGTTTTTCCAAGAAGAGAATTTAGGAAAGTGTAAATAGTGTAGAGCAGCAGAATTATGTAAGTTATGATTGCAATGAAACCAGCAACTAATGCTCCTGTTACTTGGTTGCAGTACTTGGCGACTTGGCCACAGACAGGTAGCCAACCTGCACTAGAATTCCCTTTCTTGCCTACCTGAGCAACCGCCAAGGCCGCCGAAATGCTTGAAATGAGCAGCATGGTAAACACCTACTTGAAAAAAAAAAAACAGAGAAAAACGAAGAATTTTTATGAGTAAGATTATGAAAGGTTTCCTGCATTCTGCTGTGCCTGAAATCGCTTCGTAATATTTGCTCTGGAGTTCGATATTGAACTGAAGCAATTAAGTTAATGAAACAAATCAAAGCTGTGTGCTGCATATTACCAAATCCAAGGCCAGAACTAATCTCCGTAGCGGACTCTCTGAAGGGATAAACAGAGCAAGAAAACCATAGACAGTAACAATTGCATTTGCTATCACAAAATACCTGCAGAAACCCTTTTCAGTAACCAATACAGAGGTGCTAGAGAAAAAAGCCTATGGAAGCAAACAGACCCTTTTCAGTAACTATAAATGAACTAACTTACTTGAAGGCTGGTGTGTCAGAGTATTTTGCTTCATATGATAGTGCAAAGAATGAACCTTTCTCATGGCTTGTAGCCATGATAATTACTGCTGCAAGTGTAGCACCGAAGGCAATAAGCCTTAGCAGGAGGCTGAGTAGCCTCTTGGGTTTGACCATTGATGATAACCTGAAAGTTTGAGTGCACTAAAAGTATTGAAAGTTGTGATTGTAGACAAGGTTGGAATATAAAACAGAACTGTTGGAGGCAGATGAGAAAATATGTTTCTTTATAGGGTTGTTACGTAAGAAGGCAGGTACGGAGGGTGGTGGTGATAGGTGCACTAGTTCAGGTCCTTGATTGTGCATTGTTAGTTGAATTTCTCATCTGTCACCAGCACCGTCCAGTTAGAGTTTTTCTACCTTTTCTGCTATGCAGACTTGTTAGGGTAAGCAACCTATGGCTCATGGGGTTAGTGTTTCTTGATGCAGATGAATATCGCATGGCTATGGCTATGATTAATGGAGGAAGAAAGTATCCACATTGTATCATGTAATCTATCACTTATTAAATGATTCATGTATGAACATGATGCGCGTAATTCACTTATTCAGGAACATGCCAACCTAGACCCTGGATCATAGTCAAAAATAGAGAATTTTGAAAAATTCGGAAGAACTACGCCAAGGAGCCATTGAGCAGATGAAAAAAGCACGTGACCACTTACGAAAAATGGAAATAGAAGCGGATCAATTTCGAGTGAACAAATGCTATGAGATAGAAAATAACAATAACAAAACCATTCATTTTGAACAACAAAGAGAGAGCTATCAAGTTCGACAACGAGTTTTCCATTGGGCCTTACAAGGAGTTGGGACTTTGAATAGTTATAACGAGTTACATTTTCAGTCGACTTGAGTCAAAACCTTCAATTTTTTTCTCAGCAACCAAACAGACAAGAGAAGAGGATGGCTGCGCTCTCTTTCTCTCTTACTCCTCTCTCCAAAACCCCAAAATTCTCTCCTTCAAAAACCCCGACAACAAAATCAACAATCCTAAACGTCCTCCCTTACAAACCGCTCAATGTCAACAAGTTCTCTACAATCTCAAAACCCAACTCCTTCTCTCTGACCGTTACAAAACCCTCAAAAAACCTGAAACCCAAATCCCATTTTCAACCAATAAGGTCCCTTTTCACTGGCATAGTTGAAGAAATGGGAAAAGTTCAAAAATTGGGAGATACCAAAGATGGTGGCGTTGACCTTAAAATAGCGGCAAAAACAGTGCTTGAAGGTGTAAATTTAGGTGACAGTATTGCAGTTAATGGGACTTGCTTAACTGTCACTGATTTCACCAATCAAGATTTCACTGTGGGGTTATCTCCTGAAACTTTGAGAACATCTTCTCTAATGGAGTTGAAGACTGGATCTTTGGTTAATTTGGAGAGGGCAGTCCAGCCTAGTAGTAGGATGGGAGGGCATTTTGTCCAGGGTCACGTGGATGGCACGGGTGTGATTGTCGAGAAGGTGCCAGAAGGTGACTCATTGTGGATCAAAGTGAAAACAGAAAAGGGGTTGTTGAAATATATTGTGCCAAAGGGGTTTATTGCAGTGGATGGGACTAGTTTGACAGTTGTTGATGTTTTTGAGGAAGAGGGATGCTTTAATTTTATGCTGGTGTCTTATACACAGCAGACAGTTGTTGTTCCTTTGAAGGAAGTTGGACAGAAGGTGAATTTGGAGGTGGATATTTTGGGGAAGTATGTCGAGAGGTTGCTTAGTAGTCGTTGCTGATTCCTCCAAGAGTTCTTCATCATACAAAAAGGAGGTAATGGGCGTGGTTTTGATGTTTTGAATTTGGTTTTTATTTTTTCATTTTTTTGTTTTAACTTCACTGAAATGAAATTTGAATAAAGATGATGGATTTTTGGGTTGATGTTATTTTAAATGATTTATGATATTTGTGGATTTTTCTCTATGAATGTTAACGCGGTTATATTTATTTGTGTGTTTTTGCATTAGAATTGCCTGGTTTTGTTTATATCAAGTAGGAGATATCAAGTGGGAATATGATTTTGATAGGAATTTGGTATAGAGTGAAGTTGTGTGTGCTTTTGAAGTTGTCCTGATGATCTAGAATGTATGGGGAAAAAAAATTATAGATTGGTCTTTCTTGTTGTTATAACCAGAGAAGAATAAATCTGCAGAAATCCTGTTCTTCATTTCATACTTAGTAGCATTTTGGAGAATACAGTTTGCAGGATTGCGTTCTTGGCCTTTACTAGCTGAGCAAGAGTGTCTTCAGATTAAGTTCTAATTTTTATCTATCTAGTTTGTGGAAATGGCAATTCTGAACACTCCCAACATTTTTATTGTGAAGCAATGATGTTAGCAACAATCAAACTTTGTTTCTTCTCTTTCCATACTTTTATTTTCAACTCAAGAACCTATAGATAATGAAAAAGGAGTAGATGATTTAGGGCACCATGGGACTATTAAATTGAGAGCTGCGCTGCTTTAAAAGTAAAAGGAATCAAGTGGGAAAGGTTTGGAATAAAGCCCTAGAAGTCTAGAAGGATGACCATGAGGAAATTAATTAAAAGCTGAATGTGTTCAAATTAACCCCTAAGAAAAATTAGTAAGGTTTGCCAGTCAGCCTAGAGTGGCTGCGTGGTAGCCTTGTGGATGGCCAAGTCGAATATTATCTATGACCTAATTTCAGTTTTAGATTTAAAACTTTGGTTTTGTTTCGTTTTGTTTCTTTTCTTTTTCTTTTCTTTTGAAAAGAAAAGTTATCTCGACCGGAAATGCTTAATGGTTTCAGGTCTTTGCCTTTTCAATTGGTTGATTTTCTTATCTTTTTCCTCCTCCATTTGTAAAATCATCAAGCTGACTACAATTGTGGCGACATCACTGCTGTTGAAATCAGTAGCAAAATCAGTAGTGTAACAGATTTGCTACTGAAAATATTACATTCGTAAGCGATGTATTACTGCCATTTCAAACTAGGAGTGTGCAACAGGGTTTTTGAAGTTCTTTGGTGTTAAACATTGAGCAACGCACCCTATATGGAGGCTTACCATAATCCATAAGCTGTCTTTATTTCCCTCTTCAATAATAGGTAATTTTATAATTTACTTTAAATTTTATTGTTTCCCCCAAAAGAGAGAGTGATGTGATAATTCTCATAGCATCTTAGAAATCTGAGTGATGGTGTGCTAGAGCTCATTTGAGTGATGGGATTTGAAGTTTTTCATTGCCACTTGATAGTATTCTCGTGGACAGGAGTTTTAGTGTAGATATTGCTCTTTGGGAAATTAAGAGATCTGTTGGGAGATGTCAAAATGGCTCAAGAGGTGGTAGTGGCATCCATTCTTAGACCTCAGAAAGAATCGAGGCTTGTTCGCCTGAGGCTACCTGATCATAATTTACTGCATGATTCTGGCGGGTACTTGGCTTGGAGAATTTGTATTTCAGGTTAGTTATTCATCAACCATCGATGCAGAAATGTGGGCTGTCATAACATGTTCGGAGGGGGCTTGAGATGGGGTTTTAAGCAGCTGCATACACAGATTGATTCTGCCGTCCCTGTCGAGATGTTGTGGGAAGAAGTTTGTGCTTCTATTCCCTTGCTACTCTGGCAAGGGAACTTCCTAAACAAAATTGAGCCTTCAAGACTTGGTATGCCTTGATAGGGTAACTGTAACCCTTTTGTGTTCCTAGTGCTGATGGATTCCTCAATGCTTCCTTCTCTTGGAGAAGTAGTGCTTGGTTGCCTAGAAAGAAAGGAAACAGGTGGGCAACTGGCAAGTGCTAAATTCTATGTAGTGTTCGCTCATTAGTTTCCACTTCCATAATCCAAACCTCACTTTGATTAGCACAAAGACTCCATAAATTCACCTTGTGCCTCTGGATAATGCTGCAATGGACGGTGTCTCTTGTGTGAAAATTTGGGCGGCCAAGTCTTCATCTTTTTTATGTTTAATCTCTTGAACAAAGTAGCTTAGCTAAGATTCACAAATTCTGAAAAAGAGGAAGAAATTGGAGCATGATAAAGGAGGAGGATTCAATTTTCCATTTTAAGAAATGAGCAGAAGGCCATGGAGACAAGGTGTGCAGAGGAAGAATTGGGGATCTCAAATGTTTCTTTAAATCTAAATTGTCGAATTCAAATTGAGTGATTGTCATTAAATGTATAATAAAAACGAAGATAATTTACTTTTTTTATCATTTAATTTCTATTACATAATTCAAGTCATTGAATTCAAGATTTATAATGATAATTGAAATATGATTAGCAATTTTTTCTTAAAAAAATATACAAGTAACTATGATAGTGTTTGACATAATTTATGCCTATACTTTTAGTTGCTTTTTATAAATATTTTTAGCTTAAAAAAATATTAAATTAATTTTTTTTAGTGTTTTGTATATTTTTAGCTTAAAAAAATATTAAATTATTTTTTTTAGTGCTTTGTAATGGTTTATTGAATTCAAGATTTATAATGATAATTGAAATATGATTAGCAATTTTTTCTTAAAAAAATATACAAGTAACTATGATAGTGTTTGACATAATTTATGCCTATACTTTTAGTTGCTTTTTATAAATATTTTTAGCTTAAAAAAATATTAAATTAATTTTTTTTAGTGTTTTGTAATGGTTTTAATATATTGATATTAAAAATAAAAAAGTAAATATACTTTTTAAAAAATATATTTTAAAAAATAATTTTTATTATAATTTTAAATACCGACAAAAACATCATAATCCAGCAAAATTCGTGCAAACAAGATACTTGATCAAATCAAGAGCTTGGAGAGAGATTTAAAATATATTGAAATAATATTTTTTTTATTTTTTAAAATTTATTTTTGATATTTAAGTATATTTTTAACTTTTAAAAAAAAAAAATTTGAAAATATATTGAAATAATATTTTTTTTATTTTTTAAAATTTATTTTTAATATTTAAGTAATAAAAAATATTGAAAAAATAATTTAATTTTTTTTTAAAATTTTAACAAAAAAAGAAGAAGTTAAAACTCAATACTAAATACCCCATGTCACAAACTAAAAACAAATAACTCTACCGCAGGTCAAAATTTATGCCGGCTGCCTACCATAACAAAATCAAGCAAATCATTGAGATTGGTTGGCGGTGGGTTAGAAAGTATTTTTAAAAATATTTAATTTTTTATTTTAAATTAATATATTTTTAATATTTTCAAATTATTTTGATGTATTAATTTTAAAAATAATTTTTAAAAAATAAAAAAAATATTATTAACATATTTTTTTAAATAAAAAACACTTTAAAAAGTAATCACTTTAAAAAATAACCACAATTACACCACATGGATAACCATTTAACTTTAACTTTAATATCAAAGTGAATTGATTGGAATCAAATGAGTTTATTTTATTATTATTATTTTGTTATTTAATATATGTATATAAACCTCAAATATTTATATTACTCTTTTATTTTATATTAAATAATAAAGTATAATTTGAGTATATTAAATAATAAATAGCACTCACATGTTGGTGTATTTTAGATGAACAAAACAATTTATTTTTGTGTTTAAAAAGTATTTTTTTTAATTTAACTTTGTTTATTTAATTTGCTTTAAAATTTTTTTTTAATATTTTTATA